ATCACCTCACAATCAGCTACAACTATATCCAGACATCCCAGAGCTACATCACCTCACAATCAGCTACAAATATATCCAGACATCCAAGAGCTACATGACTTGACAACAGCTAAACTATATCCAGACATCCCAGAGCTACATCACCTCACAATCAGCTACATATATATCCAGACATCCCAGAGCTACATGACTTGACAACAGCTAAACTATACCCAGACATCCCAGAGCTACATCACCTCACAATCAGCTACAACTATATCTAGACATCCCAGATTTACATGACTTGAAAACAGCTAAACTATATCCAGACATCCAAGAGCTACATCACCTCACAATCAGCTACAACTATATCTAGACATCCCATAGCTACATGACTTTACAACAGTTCAAACTATATCTAGACATCCCAGAGCTACATGATTTTACAACAGCTACAACTATATCAAGACATCCCAGAGCTACATGACTTGAAAACAGCTAAACTATATCCAGATATCCAAGAGCTACATGACATGACAACAGCTACAACTATATCCAGACATCCCAGAGCTACATCACCTCACAATCAGCTACAACTATATCCAGACATCCAAGAGCTACATCACCTCACAATAAGCTACAACTATATCCAGACATCCTAGAGCTACATGACTTTACAACAGCTAAAACTATATCCAGACATCCTAGAGCTACATCACCTCACAATCAGCAACAACTATATCTAGACATCCCAGAGCTACATGACTTGACAACAGCTACAACTATATCCAGGCATCCCAGAGCTACATCACCTCACAATCAGCAACAACTATATCCAGACATCCCAGAGCTACATGACTTGACAACAGCTACAACTATATCCAGGCATCCCAGAGCTACATCACCTCACAATCAGCTACAACTATATCCAGACATCCAAGAGCTACATGACTTGACAACAGCTAAAGCTATATCCAGACATCCCAGAGCTACATCACCTCACAATCAGCTACAACTATATCCAGACATCCAAGAGCTACATGACTTGACAACAGCTAAAACTATATCCAGACATCCCAGAGCTACATCACCTCACAATCAGCTACAACTATATCCAGACATCCCAGAGCTACATGACTTGACAACAACTAAAGCTTTATCCAGACATCCAAGAGCTACATCACCTCACAATCAGCAACAACTATATCCAGACATCCAAGAGCTACATGACTTGACAACAGCTAAAGCTATATCCAGACATCCCAGAGCTACATCACCTCACAATCAGCTACAACTATATCCAGACATCCAAGAGCTACATGTCTTGACAACAGCTAAAGCTATATCCAGACATCCCAGAGCTACATCACCTCACAATCAGCTACAACTATATCCAGACATCCCAGAGCTACATGACTTGACAACAGCTAAAGCTATATCCAGACATCCAAGAGCTACATCACCTCACAATCAGCTACAACTATATCCAGACATCTCAGAGCTACATGACTTGACAACAGCTAAAACTATATCCAGACATCCCAGAACTACATCACCTCATAATCAGCTACAACTATATCCAGACATCCCAGAGCTACATGACTTGACAACAGCTAAACTATATCCAGACATCCAAGAGATACATCACCTCAAAATCAGCAACAACTAGATCCAGACATCCCAGAGCTACATGACTTGACAACAGCTAAACTATATCCAGACATCTAAGAGCTACATGACTTGACAACAGCTAAACTATATCCAGAGATCCCAGGGCTACATGACTTGACAACAGCTACAACTATATCCAGACATCCCAGAGCTACATGACTTGACAACAGCTACAACTAAATCTAGACATCCCAGAGCTACATGACCTTAGAGTCAGCTACAACTATATCCAGACATGCCAAAGCTATATGACCTTTAACTCAGCTACAACTAAATCTAGACACTCTCGAGCTACGTGACCTTAGAGTCAGCTACAACTAAATCTAGAAATCCCAGAGCTCAGCTACAACTAAATCTAGACATCCAGAGCTACATGACCTTAGAGTCAGCTACAACTAAATCTAAATCTCCCAGAGCTCAGCTACAACTAAATCTAGACCTCCAGAGCTACATGACCTTAGAGTCAGCTACAACTAAATCTAGACATCCCAGAGCTACATGACCTTAGAGTCAGCTACAACTAAATCTAGATATCCCAGAGCTACATGACCTAAGAGTCAGCTACAACTAAATCTAAACATCCCAGAGCTATATGACCTTAGAGTCAGCTACAACTAAATCTAGACATTCCAGAGCTACATGACCTTAGAGTCAGCTACAACTAAATCTAGACATCCCAGAGCTACATGACCTTAGATTCAGCTACAACTAAATCTAAACATCCCAGAGCTACATGACCTTAGAGTCAGCTACAACTAAATCTAGACATCCCAGAGCTACATGACCTTAGAGTCAGCTACAACTAAATCTAGACATCCAGAGCTACATGACCTTAGAGTCAGCTACACCTACATCTAGACATCCAGAGCTACATGACCTTAGAGTCAGCTACAACTAAATCTAGACATCCCCGAGCTACACCAGAAATGGACTCCACACATTGTACCCATGTTGCGAAGCGAACACGAGTCTTCGGCCTGACAAGCGGACGCTATAACCATTAGACTACCCCACTGCCCCGTGCATAAACTGTATCTGAATCATATTGCAACAGTTAACTGGGAGCCTGTTATCATTTAACGCAACAAAAAAAAACCTGACAACACCCCCCCACACACACACACACCAACACACACACACACCACCACCACCACCACACCCCCACCCACCCCGGATCCGCCACTGATATACATGTTAGAACAGCGATGTGAATGTAATCCAAGACCAGCATGGCTGTCTGAGATAGCTGCCGTGTTACTGTGTACCCGATCTATGGCACACGCTGTGACATGTATGGATATCAGAGACGTCGTCACAGCTTGCAGAGCGGTTGAGATAACAGAGAAGATGCGTCGATGTAACTCATGCAGCAAAATCCGCCAGATATTACATGTCCACCTTTGTTCCCATTTCCCAGAGAAACGCATTCCCATAATTCCAGGCCTATTTTCGTTTCGCCTCATATCCATATTTGGAAATTTTGAAACTAATACCCTGTGTTACAGCTTGCAAGTCTTGAAAGGAACACAAATTACTTTGACCCGTGTAATTCTATGGCAAGATATGACATATACACCCATCAAAGGGGAACAACTGGTCTTGGCAGGTAGGGCCATTTTACAAATGTGTTGGTGTCACATGACGATGACGTCACGGTATCCTGTGGTGTGTAACAATGACATATTAGATATCCGCAGCGTTCTATCAACCTGTCAACGTGTGAAGGCAAACTTGCATACTGCATCAGCCCTATATTATATGGATAATACATCGTTTCCTGCCATTTAAACAACTCTCGAACACGTTAGATATGAATACGACACGTTCTAGGAAATTGGTGTGTTAAACTGTTCTGGCTCTGTCATATCAAAGGAAAAACCACTTGGTTTGATATGAAGTAGCTCTAATATGTACAGACTGTCCGTAATGTCATTTAGCTTTGAAATGTCCATACGCTTGTCACTGGTTGTGTCAGCTATCGAGACAGTTATCACTGATTGTGACGTCAGGTAGCTCTGAGAGATCTAAATTGTTTCTCTGGATGTCTGTAGCTCTGACATAACCAAACGGTTGCGAATGGTTTGGGTGTCATTTGGCTGTCACGTATTTATACAGTTGTCTCTGATGTGATGTGGCTGTCAAGTATTTATACAGTTGTCTCTGATGTCATGTGGCTGTCCAGTATTTATACAGTTGTCTCTGATGTCATGTGGCTGTCCAGTATTTAAAAAGTTGTCTCTGATGTCATGTGGCTGTCCAGTATTTATACAGTTGTTTCTGATGTCATGTGGCTGTCCAGTATTTATACAGTTGTCTCTGATGTGATGTGTCTGTCAAGTATTTATACAGTTGTCTCTGATGTCATGTGGCTGTCCAGTATTTATACAGTTGTCTCTGATGTCATGTGGCTGTCAAGTATTTATACAGCTGTCTCTGATGTCATGTGGCTGTCAAGTATTTATACAGTTGTCTCTGATGTCATGTGGCTGTCAAGTATTTATACAGTTGTCTCTGATGTCATGTAGCTCATGTATCTTGATCGTTGTCACTGGCTCTGTTGTAATCATCTCTCTAAATTGTTTTCGCTGTTTGCGACGTCATATCTAAATCATTTTCTCTCGCTGTAATGTAATGTAGCACTGGCAAATCCACACGACTGTGACTGGTTGTGATGTCATGTAGCTCTGACATTTCCAGACGACTGTGACTGGTTGTGATGTCATGAAGCTTTGACATATCAAAACGACTGTGACTGGTTGTGATGTCATGAAGCTTTGATATATCCAAACGACTGTCGCTGGTTGTAATGTCATGAAGCTTTGATGTATCCAAACGACTGTGACTGGTTGTGATGTCATGAAGCTCTGACATATAAAACGACTGTCGCTGGTTGTGATGTCATGAAGCTTTGACATATCAAAACGACTGTGACTGGTTGTGATGTCATGAAGCTTTTATATATCAAAACGACTGTCACTGTTTGTGATGTCATGTAGCTCTGATACATCCAAACGACTGTCACTTGTTGTGATGTCATGTACCTTTGACACATCCAAACGGCTGTCACTGGCTGTGATGTCATGAAGCTCTGACATATCCAAACGACTGTCACTGGTTGTGTCATGTCATGTAGCTCTGCCCTATCTGGAGCGTCGTCATTGGTTGTGATGGCATGTAGTTCTGCCCTATCTAGAGCGTCGTCACTGGTTGTCATGTCATGTAGCTCTGCCCCATCTAGAGCGTCGACACTGGTTGTCATGTCATGTAACTCTGCCCTATCTAGAGCGTCGACACTGGTTGTGATGTCATGTAGCTCTGCCCTATCTAGAGCGTCGTCATTGGTTGTGATGTCATGTGTATCTAGCGTCGTCATTGGTTGTGATGTCATGTAGCTCTGCCCTATCTAGAGCGTCGTCACTGGTTGTGATGTCATGTAGCTCTGCCGTATCTGGAGCGTCGTCATTGGTTGTGATGGCATGTAGTTCTGCCCTTTCTAGAGTGTCGTCACTGGTTGTCATGTCATGTAGCTCTGCCCCATCTAGAGTGTCGACACTGGTTGTCATCTCATGTAGCCCTACCCTATCTAGAGGGTCGTCACTGGTTGTGATGTCATGTAGCTCTGCCCTATCTAGATCGTCGTCACTGGTTTTGATGTCATGTAGCTCTGCCCTATCTAGAGGGTCGTCACTGATTGTGATGTCATGTAGCTCTGCCCTATCTTGATTATTGTCACTGGTTGTCATGTCATGTAGCTTTGCCCTATCTAGAGCGTCGTCACTGGTTGTGATGTCATATAGCTCTGCCCTATCTGGAGCGTCGTCACTGGTTGTCATGTCATGTAGCTCTGCCCTATCTAGAGTGTCGTCACTGGGTGTCATGTCATGTAGTTCTGCCCTATCTAGAGCGTCAACACTGGTTGTGATGTCATGTAGCTCTGCCCTATCTAGAGTGTCGTCACTGGTTGTGATGTCATGTAGCTCTGCCCTATCTAGAGCGTCGTCACTGGTTGTGATGTCATGTAGCTCTGCCCTATCTTGATTATTGTCACTGGTTGTGATGTCATGTAGCTCTGCCCTATCTAGAGCGTCGTCACTGGTTGTGATGTCATGTAGCTCTGCCCTATCTAGAGTGTCGTCACTGGTTGTGATGTCATGTAGCTCTGCCCTATCTTGATTATTGTCACTGGTTGTGATGTCATGTAGCTCTGCCCTATCTAGAGTGTCGTCACTGGTTGTGATGTCATGTAGCTCTGCCCTATTTTGATTATTGACACTGCTTGTGATGTCATGTAGCTTTAGGGGTCGTCACTGGTTGTGATGTCCTTGATATCTAGGGTCGTCACTGGTTGTGATGTCATGTAGCTCTGTCCTATCTGAAGCGTCGTCACTGGTTGTGATGTCATGTAGTTCTGCCCTATCTAGAGCGTCGCCACGAGTTGTCATGTCATGTAGTTCTGCCCTATCTAGAGCGTCGTCACTGGTTTTGATGTCATGTAGCTCTGCCCTATCTAGAGTGTCGTCACTGGTTGTCATGTCATGTAGCTCTGTCCTACCTAGAGCGTCGTCACTGGTTGTGATGTCATGTAGCTCTGTCCTATCTAGAGGGTCGTCACTGGTTGTGATGTCATGTAGCTCTGCCCTATCTTGATTATTGTCACTGGTTGTGATGTCATGTAGCTCTGCCCTATCTAGAGTGTCGTCACTGGTTGTGATGTCATGTAGCTCTGCCCTATCTAGAGCGTCGTCACTGGTTGTGATGTCATGTAGCTCTGCCCTATCTTGATTATTGTCACTGGTTGTGATGTCATGTAGCTCTGCCCTATCTAGAGCGTCGTCACTGGTTGTGATGTCATGTAGCTTTGCCCTATCTTGATTATTGTCACTGGTTGTGATGTCATGTAGCTTTGCCTTATCTAGAGCGTCGTCACTGGTTGTGATGTCATATAGCTCTGCCCTATCTGAAGCGTCGTCACTGGTTGTGATGTCATGTAGCTCTGCCCTATCTAGAGCGTCGCCACTAGTTGTGATGTCATGTAGTTCTGCCCTATCTAGAGCGTCGTCACTGGTTGTGATGTCATGTAGTTCTGCCCTATCTAGAGCGTCGTCGCTGGTTGTGATGTCATGTAGCTCTGTCCTACCTAGAGGGTCGTCACTGGTTGTGATGTCATGTAGCTCTGCCCTATCTAGAGAGTCGTCACTGCTTGTGATGTCATGTAGCTCTGCCCTATCTTGATTATTGTCACTGGTTGTGATGTCATGTAGCTCTGCCCTATCTAGATCGTCGTCACTGGTTGTCATGTCATATAGCTCTGCCCTATCTGGAGCGTCGTCACTGGTTGTGATGTCATGTAGCTCGGCCCTATCTAGAGTGTCGTCACTGGTTGTGATGTCATGTAGCTCGGCCCTATCTAGAGCGTCGTCACTGGTTGTCATGTCATGTAGCTCTGCCCTATCTAGAGCGTACATCTGACAGACATTATGCCTGGATTGTTTCAGATGTAGTGGGTTAAACCTGCTGTTGATAAGAGAGATAAACAAATAAACTGTACACTGAAAAAAACACACCAAAAACAAACAAGCAAACAACAAAACAAACCTATCGAACCATTTGTTACTGAACGTGACATCCTGCAGCTCTGACATCTCTAGCCAGCTGCATCTAGCTCTCACGTAATATGTGTCGACACATCTGGCCTGTCTGGATAGATGTCACTGAGTGTATCATCGTGTATCTATGACATATTTAGCGAGAGTTATCATTAAAGCTGAGATGTCAAGTAGCTTTGCCGACCGGTAATCCAGGCTAGAATTGACCTTCAGTACCCCATACTTGTCGTAAGAGGGATGAGGTGGTCAGGCTCGCTGATGATGTTGCTGCATGTCATGTTGTGTCCCAACTGTATATATTGATGTCCATGGTGTAAATCACTGGATTGTTTGATCCAGACTCGGTTATTTACACATCGCCGTTATATAGACGGAACATTGCCCAGCTCGTCACGCTGGAGACCAAGGTTCGATTCACAAAACGGGTCAGGATTTTCCACTACATCCGTGGAACTGCCCATGAACACTAGATTGGAAAACGCCGGAACACCTTAAAGTAAGGAAGCGTCAGTGGCTTCGTGGTTAAAGCGTTTGCTCGTCACGCTGAAGACCAGGTTCGATACCTCACATGGGTACAATGTGTAAACTCTATTCCCGGTGATATTGATATTGCTGGAATGTTGATAAAGGGACGTAAAACCATACTCACTCACTGAAAGCGAAGCGATACAATCTTCATGGTTTATCGAATTAGATGGCTGCGGGCGAGAGAAAGACCAATTGCAGCATGCAGATAAAAGAGTGAGTGAGTTTTGTTTTATGCCGCTTTTCAGCAATATTCCAGCAATATCTCGACGGGAGACACCAGAAATGGGCTTCACACATTTTACCCATGTGGGGATTCGAACCCGGGTCTTCGGCGTGACGAGCGAACGCTTTAACCACTAGGCTACCCTACCGCCCCTCAGGCAAATGAAGCCATTACATATCAGACTGAATACCTTTTCTTAGCCTGACACGATGGTTCAATGTTCCAACAATGGGTACCCGTGAAGATCCGGATTACGAACTTCTTAATCCCATTCTTAACACATTGGCTACGATCAAAGTTACGAAATCTTAGGGCTACGAACGTTGCGAGAATAAGACCCGGGTGTCTTCATTGAGTTTCACTTATCCATCCATGCGATTGCCTACCCGTGAATCTCCGGGTTAGAATTGATCCTCAGTAGCCCATGCTTGTCGTAAGAGGCGACTAAAGGGATCGGGTGGTAAAGCTCGCTGACTTCGTTGACACATGTCATCGTATCCAAATTGCGTAGATCGATGCTCGTGTTGTTGATCACTGGATTGTCTGGTCCAGGCTCGATTATTTACAGACCGCCGTCATATAGCTGTAATATTGCTGAGTGCGGCGTACAACTAAACTCACTCACAACAATGGGTTACAAAAAAATATACACATGTGAAGTTGCAGGTTTGATTCACGTCGATGATGTTGCAAACGATGTTGTAACGTATAACCAATCCAAAACAGCTTATTCAGTCAGTTCAACTATGAAGCCTTAGTCCCACGATTTAAATGTAACCCTTCTCACCAGTTCTCACTTGAAAGTTCCTCCCATAAGATTACACTGAGAAAGTAAGGCTTATGTATAATTATGGACAAAAGGTAAAGAAAAAGTACATCTGCCCTGCACTGTGACATGTTAATATGTATGACATATCTTGGCTGGTTTGTACATACATTTTTGTTATTGCGAAAGCGAAACTTCGTCTGACCCTGATGTGTTCCAAGATGAGTCACGTTTGATTTTCTCATAAACGGAAGATGAGCAAACTTGTTTGTAAAGGTGGTCTCGTTGGAGCACGTATCGATCACTAATGATTATATTATCAAATGTGAAGAATGCGGACCATATGCACTTAGATTAGAAAGGTATTTGTAACACTAAACAGTTTGCGGGTCATCCATTAGGGTCTATGACTCGTCATATCCGATAATGGACGTATCCTTGCCCTGTCACGTATGTGGGTGTTGTCGCACCGCCCGACCCCTTTCAAAAACACGTGCTTGCTGCTGCTTCATTCACACACATGTTCTGCTTGTTTCTCGGGCTCTGTTTAATGTACTTTGTATTACCTGGCGTTACACAGAACAAGATAGGTGGTCCAGAGGGTACATCCTCGGCCTCAAGGCTGACGCCGAATAGTTTCGCTGTTCTTACAAGGGTCCAAATTAGTTTACATCTTTAAAGACTTACTGGTACCGCCCTTGAGTGGAGCGGATGAGCCGCTTGAAGCATTATTCCAGCTATATCATGGCGGGGGATACCAGAAATGGGCTTCACACAGTATTCCCATGTGGGGTTCGAACCCGGGTGTTCGTCCTCTCGAGCGAAATTTTAACTACTAGGCTACCCCATCCCCATCCTTGTGTAGATTTTGGTGTAGTGAATACCTAAGGCTCTGGGTCCCTGTCTCATCTAACGTGATTGGAAGAATCATCGAACGTGATTGGAAGAATCATCGAACGTGATTGGAAGAATCATCGAACGTGATTGCATATTTATGTTATCAACTGACCGCAAACGTCCTCCCTGCACAGCAAGGTACAAAACCATGTTCAAAATGCACTAGATACACAAAGCAAAACCATTGTCGTGCTCCAGAGCAAGGTACATGCCCATATTTCACTTCAAGATACATGCCTATGTTTCACACCAAGGTACATGTCCGCTTTTCACAGCAAGGTACATGCCCATGTTTCACACCTAGGTACATGTCCATGTATCACACCAAGGTACATGTCCGTGTTTCACAGCAAGGTACATGTCCGTGTTTCACAGCAAGGTACATGTCCGTGTTTCACAGTAAGGTACATGTCCGTGTTTCACAGCAAGGCACATGTCCGTGTTTCACAGCTAGGTACATGCCCATATTTCACAGCAAGATACATGCCCATATTTCACTTCAAGATACATGCCTATGTTTCACACGCAAGGTACATGTCCGCTTTTCACAGCAAGGTACATGCCCATGTTTCACACCAAGGTACATGTCCATGTATCACAGCAAGGTACATGTCCATGTTTCACAGCATGGTACATGTCCGTGTTTCACAGCAAGGTACATATCCATGTTTCACAGTAAGGTACATGTCCGTGTTTCACAGCAAGGTACACGCCCGTGTTTCACAGCAAGGTACATGTCCGTGTTTCACAGCTAGGTACATGCCCATATTTCACAGTAAGGTACATGTCCGTGTTTCACAGAAAGGTGTATGTCCATGTTTCACAGACAGGTACATGTTTCACAGGAAGGTACATGTCCGTGTTTCACAGCAAGGTACATGTCCGTGTTTCACAACGAGGTACATGTCCATGTTTCACAGCAAGGTACATGCCCATGTTTCACAGCAAGGTACATGCCCATGTTTCACAGCAATGTACATGCCCATGTTGCACAACAAGATACATGTCCGTGTTTTACAGCAAGATACATGCCCATGTTTCACATTAAGGTACATGTCCGTGTTTCACAGCAAGGTACATGTCCATGTTTCACAAAAGAGTACATGTCCTTGTTTCACAGCTAGGTACATGTCCGCGTTTCACAGCAAGGTACATGTCCGCGTTTCACAGCAAGGTACATGTCCGTGTTTCACAACAAAGTACATGTCCATGTTTCACAGCAAGGTACATGTCCATGTTTCACAACAAGGTACATGTCCATGTTTCACAACAAGGTACATGTCCGTGTTTCACAGCAAGGTACATGTCCGTGTTTTACACCAAGGTACATATCCATGCCTCACAACAAGGTACATGCCTATGTTTCACAGCAAGATACATGCCTATGTTCCACAACAAGGTACATGCCCATGTTTCACAGAAAGGTAGATGTTTCACACCAAGGTACATGTCCGTGTTTTACAACAATGTACATGTCCGTGTTTCACAGCAAGGTACATGTCCGTGTTTCACAGCAAGGTACATGTCCGTGTTTTACAGCAAGATACATGCCCATGTTCCACAACAAGGTACATGCCCATGTTTTACAGCAATGTACATGCCCATGTTTCGCAGAAATTTACATGCCCGTGTTTCACAACAAGATACATGTCCGTGTTTCACAGCAAGGTTCATGTCCGTGTTTCACAACAAGGTACATGTCCATGTTTCACAGTAAGGTACATGTCCGTGTTTCACAGCAAGGTACATGTCCTTGTTTCACAGCAAGGTACATGTCCATGTTTCACAGCAATGTACATGTCCTCTTTTCACAGCAAGGTACATGTCCATGTTTCACAGCAATATACATGTCCATGTTTCACAACAAGGTACATGTCCGTGTTTCACAGCAAGATACATGTCCATGTTTCACAACAAAGTACATGTCCGTGTTTCACAGCAAGGTACATGTCCGTGTTTTACACCAAGGTACATATCCATGCCTCACAACAAGGTACATGCCTATGTTTCACAGCAAGATACATGCCTATGTTCCACAACAAGGTACATGCCCATGTTTCACAGAAAGGTAGATGTTTCACACCAAGGTACATGTCCGTGTTTCACAACAATGTACATGTCCGTGTTTCACAGCAAGGTACATGCCCATGTTTCACAACAAGATACATGTCCGTGTTTCACAGCAAGGTTCATGTCCGTGTTTCACAACAAGGTACATGTCCTTGTTTCACAGCAAGGTACTTGTCCGTGTTTCACAACAAGGTACATGTCCTTGTTCCACAGCAAGGTACAGGTCCATGTTTCACAGCAATATACATGTCCATGTTTCACAACAAAGAACATGTCCGTGTTTCACAGCAAGGTACATGTCCATGTTTTACAGCAAGGTACATGCCCGTGTTTTACAGCAAG